GTTCATTCTGCTCTATGACCGGAGAGTAGTGTTGCGGTTTCTTTTTCCAGATATAGTATAATAACATCCCCTAAAGTAGTCCCACGACAGACCAATATAAATTCATGGATCATTGTGTAGCCCATTTCCTGGGTAGACTTTCTGCTGGAATTTTGCCCATCATACCGTTATATCTCGGTACCAAAATTACGAAAACCAGGTTTCTGCATGCTATGCGTAGATATTATAAACTGAAGGCAATTTCAACCCAGTTTTAAAGTGATCTCGGGTGCTCGAGCACCGCCCAGCTATCAGAGGACTGTATGTCGATATTTTTGTGGGTGGGCCCAATTTCTGATATCGACATATGTAACTCATATCGAAAGACAAAGGTCATTTCCCCATGGCCATGCAAAGGAGACTTCTCAGTTGCATATTTGGGCTATCAGTAGACCAATTTGGGCTATCCTTTCGGGGTTTTAGATCGGTCATTGCCTCATTTGGTTACATTTTTTAGGCAAAAAGACATTGAGGTTATGTGTGAACCTAAACTTTGAAATTTACAAATCCGAAGAGCTAATGCGTAGTGTTTTCTCTTGTTCCAAATCCATGAGAATGGATGGGTTTATTAGTTTCTTATCCTCCACATGTCTCCTGTACATGGTAGCCTATTCCATCGTAATACAATTTGTAGCGGAGGCAGGTTTATCAATGCCTCGAAGGCCGGGATAGGTGTTGTTTTCATTGTACCAGTGAGTATGTAGTAATTCGAGTTTGATGAAATCGACAGTCAGGCAGCTTTAAAGGTCTTGGAAACCACTCACACCTATGCAAAAATAGTCCACGAATGTAAGTTGAGGCGGAGCTGCTGGCTGATGAATTGGCTTTCTGCTGTTTTTTGGAGCATCTAATAAAACCAGAGCCAATTATAAGCTCAAGCTGAGCAGGAAGTGCAAAGCCCTTTCTCGTAGAACAAAAATTACGCAACACAAATCTCTCTGGCCGTCCTGTTCGTGTGGGCGACGGGTATCGCAAAAGATGGAATGACAAAGTATGTGAACTTTTTAATGAAACGTTCAACGTTTTTTTTCGAAAACGCCCTATCTCAGAAAATGGCTGAAGAACGCCCTACTTCAGATCATGGTTGAAGAAAGCCCTATCTCAGATTTTGATTGAAGAACACCCTGGCCCCTATTATGAGTAGCATTCGATCCTCGACTGTGGTCGAAAGTGCTGATCGAACGAATTTTCGTTTGGTATTATGGCGCTCATTCGATGAAGAATAGGGCTATTGTGAATATAGCTCGTTTAGGCTGTTCAAAATAGTATATTTTCCACCGCTGTGAAGCTTTGTTTACAAATCAAGCAAACTAAATAGTGTGCTTATACATATGTACATATGTATGTAAATTTGGCAAATTAAAATGAATTAAGAAAGAAAGTTTATAAAAACGTGGTAAAAATGAGCACAACGGGAGTTCTGGTATGATTTTGTTCTCAGAGATCGTGCCAACAGAGTATTGTGTTTAGTATTCGCGACGTTAGAACTGCATGAAATTAATATAAATTATTTAAAATTAGTGTCTAACCGCCAAAAAGTAAGAAAACAAATGCAAAATCATACATATTTCACAATTTTCTAACACTTCGCTACACCAACGAAAGCAAAATTCTGTTCGACAGAAAATTCGATAATAAGGGTCCCTATCTCAGCTGCCGATATATTGAATTTACATTGAGATAGGGCATTCGTGATCCATTTCCATGAAAAAAGGGGATGCGTGGAGTTTTTTGTCAAACGTATCGAATAGTTATAGGATCTGGTCATGCCCTCACATATACTATGAAATGGATAGTGCATTTCGAAACTAGTTTTACAGATGTGCATCACAATAAGTTTGAAATGTCTAAACGAAATTGAAGGAACATTAGAATTAAAACAATTACACAAATAGCAACCTACCAAGCTTAACTGAGTTACGGCTTAATCGGCTAAAACCGAGTAATTTAGGAAGACTAATTTCCTTCTGAAAGTCACAAATCTAAGCTTGGAAATAGTTATAAGTGTTTGGAAAAGTATACAACTAATTAATCCACAGGTCCTCATACTCCGCTCCGCTTTGCTGGGATTTACAACTATTTAGAAACCGGCAGTCCAGCTTTAACCCACACCCAGGTAGGTCCTCTCCAAAGCCACCCATTTGTCGGATACCATAGCTCAGCTTTCTCAGTTAGTTTTCAGAAGTTATTTCAGACTTAATTTCTATTTCCCTGGGAGCTAACTTCCAGGAAATCTCCAGAAAAATCTCATGAAGGTTATGTCGTGACTTAACTTCAAAAAAATGTCCAGAGAGAGGAAGGCCATCCTGTGAGGTCGCTCCGCTACATGGAACTTATGCCACGGTTCCATGGAAGCTATTTCCGTGGAAGTTATATAGAAACCCCTCAGAATTGCTTTTCATGTTTCTGGAAAGAGTTTATTAAACGCATCCCTATGTCAAGCATGAATCCAATCGCTCAGTTTATGCTTTATATCCTCTACATACAAATCTGGTTATTCTACTGAGCTGCGCTTGGTGAGTATACTGATTCCCAAGAAATCTCTGAAGGGCCTTAAATATAAACGAGATGACACTGATTGATAAGAAACTGCTGGGAGATACATGTGAGACCTTTTAACTTAAGTATGTATGTGGTTTCCGAATATTGCTCCGGCCAAATCAGCTCGTGTACATAAGGATCAGCTAGAGTTACGACAACACCTGTGACTTCTGCAATTGAACTGTTAAGAGGGAAAGAGTAGTGAGTAGTGAGCAGTGTCAGATTTACTACGGCCGTAGCAAAGAGCCAGGGCTATACGAACAAACTTATTTAGCCCGCGCAATGATTTCTGTACTGGAATGTCGTAGAAAAGAGTAGAACAATTTTTTGAGTGGCTGTAAAAAAAATTAAAGGAAGCAATAAGGTAAGCAGCGATTGTCCATATCATCAATATGTTTCGATATTATCTATGCTTTTATTTTTAATATTTTTATTAAGCTTTCTACCACGATTGTTTATTAGGAAAATTTGAATAAGCAACAAAGTCTGAGCGGTAGAAGTTATAGCAGCTATTTCGGAGATCACCACATCTCCTCATCAGACGTCTGCTGAAGTCTAGAAAAAAGAAGTCTGATTTTCCTAATAAACAATCGCTGTACAAAGCTCAATAAAAATATTAAAAATAAAATGTTAATACGCCACAATAACATTGACAAATATCTATGCTTTTAATTGTCCTATAATTTATTTCCCTAAATCATTTTAAAATAATTCTGATTATCACTAAGTGATACATACCAATCGATTTCTTTTTTCACCGAGTCTCAAATATGAAAATAAATTTTTGTTTGCAATTTTTATGCAAAATTAGAAGAAAATAACATTTATTTTTGATTTTAATATTATATGTCTTAGATGACAGTTATTGAAGACTTTTATTTATTTTATAAAAGTCATCAATAAAAATCAGTCAGTGACTTTAACTTTAAAAGTCATCAATATAAATCAGTCACCTACTTTTATTTTTTAAATCATTCGTATTAAAGTCATTAACACTTTTCGCAGTTAAGAAGGTGTTGGGAAACAAAAGTTTACTATGACTTATACAAATGACTTTTATAGGTCTGATTTAAAAAATAAAGGTCAGTGACTGATATTTATTTATGACTTTTATAAATAAAAGTATTAGATAACTGTTATCTAAGACATATAATTTAAAAATCAAACATAACTGTTTTTTGCAGATTATTTAGACAAAAATCAAAAAATTATTGTTATTTTGGATTTATAAATAAAAGGTCAGAAATAACGGTCATTTAGGGAGTAATTAAATAAAAGTTAAAAAATAATTGTTAATGAGCAATTTTTTTAAATAAAGGTTGTAACTGTTACGGTCCCTGCTGATTGTTGTATGAAACGACAAAAAAATTCTGATCAAGGACTCTTTTTCAGAAAAGAAGCTACTTCGAAAATCATACCTAATTAAAATTTCATTTTTCTTTTTGATAAATGAATCCTTCAGCCTTTTTCTACCCTTTTTTGCTGCAAAAACATCAAAATCAGTAAATAATTTTTTATGAACTAAAGGGAAATATGTGCATTAGGGTGGTAAAAAAGAAAAGAAATTTAAGTCGCTATTTTTATGCTCTCATCCCCTAAGATTGTTCTATATCGAAAAAAAATAGACCGCTGTTTTTTATTTAGAAATAAAAAATTATTTAGAGGTCGCTCAAAGTTTTCCATATGTCTAAATAAAAAAATAAATAAATAAATAAAACTTTCATAGACTTGGTATAACACCCTCGAAAATCAATATTTTTCGATCGGAAAACTCTGTTCCTCTTTAGGAGACTTCCAGTAATAGTACTCAGTTGTTTATTTTACCATTTTTTAATACCAAATATTTTGTATGGGTCCCATTCCATTCGAATTTTTCCATTTTATACCTACCATTGCTACGAAAACTTGTTTTTTTTTCATATAAATTACATTGAAAACTTTGAGCGATCTCTAAATATATTTCGACTTTGGAATAAAAAAAATAGGGTATAATTTTTTGGGTATAAAACAATACTATGGGGTGGGAGCAAAAAAATTTCGACGTTACTTTTTTTGGACCACTCTTATACCTACATATGCACCTGACAATCATTCCTTTATGTTGTGTAAAAGATTCAAAACAATATCTGCCATTTGCAACTGAACTCTACTCTTTTACAATTTACTTACAAACCGTAATTCAGAACACACAATCCCTCGGGACAAAAAAGTAAATTAAGCATATCTGTTGCATTGCCGGACACGCTCTGTTTTCTATTTATGTACATACATATATAAGTTTGACTTAAATCAAGGTTTATTTTGCCTTTGCTGGAAGATAAATACTATACATATTTATGTATATGTATGATCGGTGAACATTTTTAGCGCAAAACATCAATCATTATTATTTTGCAGTAATAGTAATTGCTCAAATTTACCTGATCCAGCTGAATTTGTTTGTGGTTCATTTCTCCGACTGCGAGCAAACCAACTATCCGCGGGTGGTACATCTTGGCCGGCTGGTTGAGGATTGTTGACGGGCACCGACGTTGCTTCAACGTGAACAGCCACCTGTGCAGGTGTGAAATTTGGAGGAACAGCTTCACCATAAGGTCGATCAATAGCACCATAATTAGCTGGTTGTTGTTGCGCTTGCAGATATGCACCGCGTTGCTCCATTTTATTATTTCGAGCGCAGATAAGAAAAAGAAAAAGAGTTAAATTATTATTTTTCCGTATTTTGTCAACCGCTTCGTTGTTGAGTCGCGTTAGCACTAAATGTTGGAAATGAGAGGGCAATGCACATTGTTTTATAACTGTTAATACAATAACATTTTCATATGCCCAGCAAGAAATACATATGTTTACCACAGAAATGAATTAAAATCTGCAGAAATATTGGGAGTCGCTTACCGTTTCCCTTCTGGAAGGCTTACATTAATATAGGAGAATAGAAAGTTTGAAAAGATCATAGATCACTCTTTCTATTCCCGGTAATGAGTAAAATAAGCGAAATAAACATTGTCACTAGTATGGATTCCAGAGATTTTTTGCTGGGTGTATGTATGCGAGTGCGCGATATCCCTGTAGAAAAAACTCATCACCACTTGCAGATAATAGTAAGAACAAGATAAGATTTGAATTAGACTCTCAGCTCTTTATTCTACATATCCATGTATCAGCTATAGTATTGCGGCAGCAGCGCTGTTTTTTTAATTTCGAACTGGTTTGCTAGGAATTAAGTAGGAATGTAGCCCAGGGCCATTGACACGGCCTAGGAACCACAGATTTCCAAACAGGGCTGCGTGATTTTGAATTAGTCAAATGAGCTGTTTATTTTGAAAATGGAATAAGTCATTTCATGCCATTGGACTTTAGGGATCATTTACAAATCACAAAATTTTTTTATTTTTTATTTGGTCAATAAAGCAAATAACAAATAAATTTTATTTTATATTTGTCCCAGGAATCAAATCAATAAAAATTTCATTTGTTATTTGGTCAACGAATCAAATTACAAATCAAATTTTGTTTTTAATTTGATCGATGAATCATTTAATATATCAAATAGATTTCTTAATTAAAAGCGTGGATTTAAAATCAAAGGGGATTAAAAATTACACAACCCTGATTTAGAACAGCACCTATTTGGTGGCGGCTGTGATGTAGTGGTAAGCAGTGCGCGCTTCCACTCCGAATGGCCTGGGTTCAAGCCCTGGTGAAAGCAACATCGCAAAAACATGTAGAAAAAAGGTTTTTTTTCTTAACAGCGGTCGCCCCCCGGCAGGCAATGTCAAACCTAGTGTAGGTACATATTTCTGCCATGAAAAACAGCTTCTCCTCTCAAAATACAATCGCCGCTCGGAGTCGGCGTAAACAACATCAAGGCGCACGTCCCCAGCGCACAGTGCCGCCTAAGTAGGCAAAAATCGAAAAATTCGTTATCTGCAATGTGAACTTGTTTGGTATTTTTGCAAAGACAATTTATCCACTAACAAGTAATTTTTAGCAAAAAAAAACCGACTTCAACTCTCATATAAAAAAAATATATATATATATATACCTCATGATCGGATCTTAACCAGATTAGTATGGGACCACCTCTGAGACACTACCTTTCCGATGCAAAAAGAATTATCGAAATCGGTTGACGTGGTCCAATGTTATGCGGTAACATACATAAAAAAAAAAAAAAAAAAAAAAAAAGTTTCCGACGAACTGATAACCTCCTCCTTTTTTGGAAGTCGGTTAAAAAGAAATTATATGCCGCCAGGAAGCCACTAAAGTCGAAAAATTGTATACACAAAATTTTAATAAGAGCATAGCCATGCGTAAGCGCTTCACAAAAAAAAAATGTCAAAAATATATTCTTTGAAATAAAATGTTGGTTAGATGTTTTTTGTTTCCATATAGATAGTAGAGAATTACAGGAATAAAAATTTTGTAATAAAATTAAACACAGGGTGTCCCTGCGGTGTTAAAAAAAAAAAAAAAAAAAATTAAAAAAAAAAAAAAATTAAAAAAATGCTAAATTTTAATGTAATGAGTAAAAAATATATGTCAAATAGGTTTTTTTTTATCATTTTATTAAATAGTACGGGTTTTAAGCTTGCTCATTTTTTGCACTTTCTGAAGTAATGCGTTTTTCGCTAATGCATTAAATAATTTTTTCATTTTTTGTCAGTGCCTTGAGATCTGCTCGATTCGTCCCATTTTCAAAAATGAAGTGTCAGATTAAAAAGCTTGACCTGTGGACAATAGAAGATTTTTGTTTTTAAAGAGTTGCCACCTGTTAAAAAATTAGATTGTCAAAAAATTAGATTAATATTTTTTTATAAGTTCAGTGAATTATTAAGAGATGGGTATCAATCGAAATGTGTATTAGCTACATGTAGAGAGTTGCCACCTGTTTAAAAAACCAAATTCCACTTGAATTAAAGGAATTAGGTAATTGAAATAGGTAGGCATCACCATAAGAGAGTCAGACGAAAGAGGTTTAAGAAGGTTTTAGCTTAAAAATATTACGAATAGGGTTACCACCTGTTTATAAAGTCGAATTTAGTTAAACTAAAATAATAATTACGTCAAACCATAGGATTGCGCCATCGTATTTGTTGTTTTATTACAAATACATACATTGTCAATCAGTGATTTGTTCTGATTACATTCATTTTAAATTACCGGACTCTTAAATTAACTCAGGAATGTTTTTACTCTCCAATTATTTCTTGTTAAATATGTCAAATTTTTTCATTTGTCTGATACTCATATTGATATACATATTTCAGTTACCTTATTCCCTTAAAGTGAACTTGATTTTTTAAACATATGGTAACCCTTCTACGTGTCATTTAGAGGTAAAGTATTTTCAAAACTAGTTCAATTGATACCCATATTGTACTATCTAATTCATTTAACTTATTAAATAATTTTAATAAAATTTGTAACAGGTGGCAACCCTTTTCAAAAATAAAAAACTTTATTGCACATCTACAGGCCAAGTACTGTCATTTGACACCTCATTTTTGAAAATAGAACGAACTATATGTACATACCTATGTAAAAGCCACAAGAACCCAAATTTTCAACTTCAAACTACATTTACAGTGAAAGTATGAAAGTTATACAAAAACCAATTGCATTTTTGAATTTAGCGTCCTCAATTTTACAAAGAAGCGAATTTTCATTTAAATCCGTTTATAATTCTATTTTTGCCCACATTTTATATGGAAGGGAAGCACTGTGCAGCGCCAGTCTATTATTATTTGGAATTAGTTGGTTTTCCCAAAGGCATGCCATACCAAAAAAAAAAGTTTATCTGATTTTGAATTCTTGATAATAAATATTATATGATTATGATACTACTATATTTATTTAACTATAAATTTAAATATATTTTAGTAATTTGTAAGAAAGAAATGTTTTAAAATGGATGACATTGAAATATCAATATTAAAATAAATATACTTTAAAATAAAGGGTCCACAACATTTTTAAAAATACTTAGAAAGATTTACCAAATTTACTTAAAAATATTTCGCTTATGCTCTCTATTCCTGCAACACTGCTCGGCATTCACAGAAAGAGTTTTTTCTGTTAAGATTTTCAAATGGTGAGATGAGAGAAATAAAGCGAATCTCACTAATGAAAAATTAACTTTTGATTTATATTAATTTAAATATTGATAGCGATAAAGCATATGATACTTTTAAAGAAATATATTTTTTTATAGAGGAAATGCATAAGAAAGAAAAAAGATGTACACTTAAAAAGCATTTTTACTTTTTCTTAAAAAAAAAATACTATATATATTTGAAATGTACTATATTTTTTCAGATTTTTTTGAAATGTACTATATTTTTTCAGATTTTTTTGAAAAACTACTACAAATTTCTTAGAAAATGTTGGCAACCCTACGTGTCATGCACATTGGC